TTTTTCCATACTTAGTTTTTAGGTTGAGACAATGTCCGATTCTCCTTTTGAACATGTTAAGACTACTCTGATTTGCATATCTCATTAATATAAAATTAATTTTTGTTTGTTTGTTTGAAGTGATATAAAAATACATTAGATTTGAACTTCCGAATTGAAACTTAAAATATATATAAGTTAGGAATTTTTTGGTGGCGGTCATATGTTCAAAATCGAATGTAATCTCGGTATTTTTCAGTGTACTATACTCAAGATGTCCAAAGAATCTGAATGAAGCATTTCGATATATATTCTCGTCTTTCTTAATTGTGAAATACGCATGCAAGATCTTCCTTAACTCCTATGATTTATTGATTTTATATGGTGTTTGATAGTAATTTTCATATAAATCTAATTGTTTGAGAAAACAGAAGAAGAAACTTGAGCAGAATGAATTCCCAATTGTTTGAGGGCATCATTGCGGCCCTCGCGTTCACCATCTTCTTGCTCGATTGTTCACCATTAGTATACGAACGAATGAAAGCGGTGATTGTTGATGTTGTGATGGTTAATTAGGTAAGTTTAATCTTTTTTAAACAAATTTGTCAACAATCATTATTTTCAGACAATTTTTTTTTGTTTCCCTCCTTTTCGATTTCGAAATTAACATAATTACGGTGACATAGTAACAAAAACTTCGCAATGCATTTACAATAACCCGATTATTTTTTTTGTTTGTGTGTGTTTTAGTGTCAATTAATAACCCATGATTTTGAAGACAAAAATAAGATATCTTTTGTAAACAATTTTATTTACATATAGACTATAATTCTATAATTTACTGATATAAATAAACAAGACAGATGACCACAGTTCGATAAAAAAAGAAAAAAAGACAGATGACCATAGTTTATTATAACAATAGATTATGATCCATGTTGATAGAAGAGTAAATAAATTCAAAATTATTGATATAAATATTTAAATTTTAGTTAGTAACCCGTCGAATTATCAAAATATTTTGAAATACTATTCAAACACATGCTTTAAATCATTAGAGATCACTATATATCTTAATTCTCATGCTCTAATTCATTTGACGAAGATAAAAAAGAAGA